TTTTGGGTTGTAATTTTGACATCAATTTTTGCCAAACTCTAGCCCAAGGCTCCTCTCTGTCCAATACCTCGAGGACAAAGTTACATGTATGAAATGAAACCTCTATTATAGTAGAGTTCATGGTCAAATTCATTTGGAAGCACAGTTTACTAATTGGGTTCTATGGCACTTTCAAAATGTCCCCTGGAAGGCTGGAATTTTGGTGCTCAAAGAGCAAAAAATGAGACCCCCGTGAAACTCCAAAACTAAAAGTCAGAGAAGTGAGCCAAATTGGCTTTGGAAATATCTCATTGCACCCAACTTCTGTGCCAAGTTTCAGCCAAATCGGTTGACCACAACTTTTGGCCCCTGGAACACTTTCTCAGACAATGACACTTAAGTCATAATCTTGGTGCCAGTGAGGGCAACAAAGACTGGCTTATCAAGTGATGCACGAGTGGAACGCTGTGCAACAGTCTACAAGAGATGCAAATAGCCTGGATATATTTCAGAAGCTTGTGTAAACTATTTTATCAAATTTTCTTATTTTATTAACTCTATCTTAGAGTTATATTGTGTTTGAATACTTTTTTGTAACTTAAATTTTTAACTACTGTATCATTGTTATTATTATTATTATATTATTATTATCATTATTATTAATATTATTATTATTATTATTATACTATTATCAATCCGGATGATCGCTTCAAGCGTGAAACTCGAGTTACTGTAATTTCTATCTTAATTTAATTAAAAAAGCCTTGAATTGCAATATTAAATTAAGTGAACCACGGTTGTTGTTTCATTTTCACCACGCACCGTAAGAACGATTCCTAGTTGGATCACGTTGGTGGGTTTTCTTAGTCACCTCCAGGACAGCGACACGCGTACTCAAATTTAACGAAGAATTTTCCAACCGTCAACAACAGCCCATTTACACCGATTATTTTGCAGGGATAAACGCGCTATTCGCACTATGTAAAAACGCCAGAAAGTCCTACTGTGGAAGTACGTGAGTGTAAATGATACCATGAATATCATTAACCAGTTACTATAGTCCAAGTTTAGCTACTTGTATATTCAGTACAAACATAGGACAGTGTATGCCTGGATCATAAACGCCACCAGGCTGAGGGATAAAACAAAATGAAGCATGGCTGATCAGTCTTCTGAATCGTTTTTATTGTTGCTCCCAGACAGCTTCAATTTCCACTTTCCACAATTAAAGTTTTTTTTAGCAGTAGTTTGAAGGGTAGACTTTAAATTAAATGCATTGATAACACTGACTTGCATTGCATTACCTTCAGTACATTGCAGAAGATTACTTCGTTAGTTACTTCTCGTTGCAGGAAACTAAAATACGTCCCATTACAGTTCATACATATGCATTTCTCCACATTATCATGGCATGGTCACTGCCATTCTTATCATTATCATTGCCTTTGTTGCCTCCTCATTGAATTCTTTTGTTATTTTTTTCCGTTTGTACGAACATTCATTCCCTTATCACCACGTTCTTTTCGTTTGTCCCACTTCCACCTAATCAATATTCTGTTAGGTTTTTTCGAATAATTTCGTTTTTATTTCAGTCCTTTTGTATGCAGTTTTCCAGTATATTTGTGCATTTCAATCGCAAAGTTACAGTACAGTCTTCTAGGCTCAATTTACCTTCTTCACCGCTTTTCTTTATCGTGTTCCTATATTTCATTTATTGTATTCGTTCGTAACTCGTTATTTTGTTTTATTTTCATAGCTTTCGCGGTTTTTCCCCGCACTTTATCGTTTAAATTGTACATGTCGTGGCTTCGATTAAAGCACATGTAGCGTGTTCAACGTTTGACTACAATAGACTTTGCTAATAGTTCGTTTGGTGTCATCATCGTTATCGTTGCTATCATGCTATCAACTTCTTATCTGTTCAACAATTGCATCTACTAGCCCGGAATACACTCAAAATTTTGCCTGGGGGGGGGGGTGGGCTGAAGGGTTCGAGGGATGACACGGGATACACTTTTTAGACCCACGCATAGTTCTCATCATCTGTGTATGTATGTATTGTGCATATTTGGTCAGCAAGGACAACAGAAAGTAAATAGCCGTACGGCAGGAAACACTAAGGACTTTAAGATACACTACGGCGAGGTGCTACTACGGCTACATTGGGACTAGGCTGACAACGGTGTTTTACCTGCCAAACTCAAATGATTAAGATTTTGCTGTACGGCAACGGTATGTGCATTCTCTACGTGTCTTTACAAAAATGACTATTTTCAAGGAAACCAGAGATTATTCTACTTTCATACGAAACAGGCTTGATTGATGACAATGATTTCCTTCTCCTGTATCCGTCTTATATCTCCCAGAACTCAGATTTGCCTTTTAGAACTTGATAGATCCGCCTGTAATTCCAACCACAAAACAAAATATAAACTCTGATACTGAAAAAAAAAGCTGGATTTCAACACGGACAGGTTGTTCGTACAACGATTACGTGATAAGCCCGAAAATACGAAACTTTCGATTATAGTAAAATACATTTTGAACAGTGATAAACAATTACAGCTCAGATTAGAACATACGCAGCTTTCTTATAAACGGCTGTTCGGCCCGATACTAATATGACTGAATTGATCCTCTCGCGGTAGGTGTTAAAATCGTTCAAATTTTCTGTACAAATGACAAAGAAACAATGATCTTAGAACTGATTTTTATGATTGAGAACTTTATCTTCAAACTAGCCTGTTCAAACAGTGAGAAAAACGTTAAAATGAGAAGTAAACAGCAGGCTTATACTCACAAAGTGAAGAGTACGTGAGACCAGGCACTTTCCCGTAGTAGAAAGCAGGGCTACGGCGGGAAAGCCATACTGGTAGGCGCGTCATGACGTCACCGGAGGTGATCTTCACTATCTGCCGCCGTACTACAGCCTAGCCGTACCGTATCTTAAAGTCCCTACTATGGCTCATGTTACAGATATCATAGATCTGCATCGACAAACTGCAAATCTGGGAGCTGCCCGTTATGAAACTTGTTCTTTTATTCCATAGTCCACGATGTCACTCGATCTTACTTGGCCCTGATAAATGGAGCAGTAACTGTATTCAAATCTGGTTCACTGACAACGTAGGATTGGAATTCTTAACAAATTTGGTTCCACTTGAAGCAAAAATAATATGCGAAAAGAGCTGATTACCAAAGGCGATGTGGGAATTGAAGCTGCTCCTTTCCTCAGAACTCAGTGCTCTAGGCCTGGGCCCACGTCACATTCTTTATATCACACTACATTCACCAGCAATTGCCATGTCCAATTTTATGCACGCCTTTCCATCATAACCTGGCGGCGGTATTTCTTGAGAGAGAGGCTTAGGTCAACTCGGAAATGGGCAATTGAAAGAGTATTATGAATTCAAATTGTAAACTTATTCGGCCGGAACTAGAGGTAATGATAAAAATTAAAAATAATGATAAGACTTAACTGGGTAAAAAAGAAATACATTTAATTGTGACCTAGTAGTTTACATTGTGGCCCTTGCTAAGTAAAAATTATAAAGCTGAAAATTAGAATAGGAACAACTGCAACTTACCTCGAGATTAAAAAGTTCTCTTGATTAAATACTATAATGTTCTACCGAGAAATTGTTCGATAACTATCTAGTTACAAATGTTTATTAAACTTATATACTCTATTGATTCACCGTGTCTCATTGCTTAAAGTATTCCAAAGTCTTGCTCTACTAACATTGCGTTGAAGCTATTGGTCTTGGCTTGTTTTCTGAGGAGATGAAATAGATACTATATACGGCAAACGCTACGGATGGTGGTAGATCGTCAAAAATTTTTCGAACCAAGTCCTCTTTTACTAACTGACTTCTAAAGAAAATGAATGCAACTGATCCTTTTATTTTTCAGTATGATCATGATCCATTTCGTGATCCTCGCCTCCGAAATCGAACAGTAATACAGCAGGACTCCAGGTCCGCTGCTTCCACCACTGCTGAGCTATGCTGAGTTTTTTAACAAAGTGTCGCACACTAGTATTTACCAAAATAAATTTTACAAATGGTATTAATCAAGCCATCACTAAACACAATGAAAACCTACTGGATTAATGACATATGTTGGACACCCCAGGCGTATTTGCGTTCCGAAACTCTTAATTATATTTCAAAACAAATTAGTTATTGTTAATTAGATTGTACTAAGTCCTCGGCAACTAATTAATTTATAATAATTAATTTGGTGTCAGCTCTTTCATCAATGTAGTTAATGCCATAAGTGTGGTGTCAATAAAATGATTAAAAATATATAGTTATTTAAAAAAGAGGATCAACATTGAAAATGTTCAGTAATATTGTGACATTGACGCTCTTATTGAAATCCTTTAGCAGCTAGTTGCTTTCTTACTCTTGACAAATATCCATGGTCTGGGTAGCCGTTTCTGCAATATTCAAAGAGTGAAGTTTGCATGAGTCTCAAAACTAACTTGTAAAGTACATTATATATCTCAAACCCATTCGAAGAAACACGACGACAAAGTTTATACGACTCGCAAAATAATGAAGTTAAAGGCCTTATTTACACTCCCCCCCTAGTATTGTCATGAGGACTAGCCCGTATGTAATACATAATAGTAAAGTAATCACAATATATAACTTAATTAATTGCGAGGTGGTTTTTCCGCGTATTTACAGGGTGATGACAACCCCATCCCATCTCCTTAAAGTTTTTTCGTAATCGTAAAAGGCGACTTCCTGAATCTTTTAGTAACTGTGCATTCATTCAAATTCTGATGAGTTAACATTTTCTTCAAATCATTTGATAACACTATAGTAAAAACCGCTTTTTGACCTATTGTTTAGGTGGAGTTTTGCCGACATCAAGAGGCTATAGGACTTTACCACAAAACTCTTACGAAATGTTATCTATGAAGCTGCTTACCTTGCATTACTTTCTGCTGATGTCTTCAGTTCGACGCCATTTAGTGCGACTTGGGCTGGTGGATCTGAAGCAGACCTTGAAACAGTGAACACCAGGCGAGCGTCAAAAGCTTTCCGTAATGACTTTAAAATCTGCTTGCCTTCCTGTGTGTCAGGGAGGTACGCAATGCAAGACATTCCTTTGTACATTTCACCGGGGCTTGGGTGCTCCGAACTCTGTACACCATCGTAGAAAGTGAAAGTCACGACAACTGTGCCACAGCCTTCAAATCCAGGAAGACTATCTTCGTACCTTTTCCACATTATTTGACCCGGGGGCTGGTTTGCTTTTAAGACATCTGGGTAAGCTGTCCATTGAAGACCGCCTTTTTGGTCTATATCAGAGCTTGGGTCAGAAACTGAGGTATGGAGATCTGTGGAAACAAGAATTTCTAACCTATACCTCAAATACCCATAGTATGAAACATTACAAAGGAAGTAGCCGAGAGTTACAAGGCAATGAAGCAAAATGTGTACGAAAATATAGACGAGAAAGAGAAAAACAAAGATTAATAAGAGTATTATACGGATGTATAATACTATATCCCTGATTTCTGTAAAATGTTAAGTCTACAGACTTGGCCGGGTGTTTAGTCGTCGTTTAGTCACATTTGTCAGTAACAACAACAACAACAACAACAACAACAACAACAATCTTTATTCAGACTATTGAGATGCAAAAAGAACGGTAAGACAAAAAACTTAAGGTGAGCCAGTATATATAAAAAAAAAAACACTGGCTCAGAAAGAGAGAAAGAGGTGTGTGGCTGGCCAAGTACCTTTGGTGTCGAGTTCAGCTGTATCATTGTGTGCCGCGTTGTATGGTCCTTCAGAAACTGTCAGCCCATAGGAATCCACGCAAACAGGACAATTATTACTGAAAGTGAACGCCTTGAGAAGGCAGTCGTCGCAAAACTTGTGTTGCACGCAAACATTTGGATGAATAAGGTCTGGATGATCCACAGTGTCCTGGCAAAGGGCGCACAAGAAGGCAGCTGGTAGCTCAGTCGAAACTACTGTAAAAGAATGGAGCGATTAGTGATGTCCACAATAGACGGAAGTTATTAATTACTACAGTGACACGAAGTATGCGAAAATAGCTTGTAAATGACTTCGCTTTCGTATACTCAGTCAATTATTACTGAAAGTGAACGCCTTGAGAAGGCAGTCGTCGCAAAACTTGTGTTGCACGCAAACATTTGGATGAATAAGGTCTGGATGATCCACAGTGTCCTGGCAAAGGGCGCACAAGAAGGCAGCTGGTAGCTCAGTCGAAACTACTGTAAAAGAATGGAGCGATTAGTGATGTCCACAATAGACGGAAGTTATTAATTACTACAGTGACACGAAGTATGCGAAAATAGCTTGTAAATGACTTCGCTTTCGTATACTCAGTCAATTATTACTGAAAGTGAACGCCTTGAGAAGGCAGTCGTCGCAAAACTTGTGTTGCACGCAAACATTTGGATGAATAAGGTCTGGATGATCCACAGTGTCCTGGCAAAGGGCGCACAAGAAGGCAGCTGGTAGCTCAGTCGAAACTACTGTAAAAGAATGGAGCGATTAGTGATGTCCACAATAGACGGAAGTTATTAATTACTACAGTGACACGAAGTATGCGAAAATAGCTTGTAAATGACTTCGCTTTCGTATACTCAGTCAATTATTACTGAAAGTGAACGCCTTGAGAAGGCAGTCGTCGCAAAACTTGTGTTGCACGCAAACATTTGGATGAATAAGGTCTGGATGATCCACAGTGTCCTGGCAAAGGGCGCACAAGAAGGCAGCTGGTAGCTCAGTCGAAACTACTGTAAAAGAATGGAGCGATTAGTGATGTCCACAATAGACGGAAGTTATTAATTACTACAGTGACACGAAGTATGCGAAAATAGCTTGTAAATGACTTCGCTTTCGTATACTCAGTCAATTATTACTGAAAGTGAACGCCTTGAGAAGGCAGTCGTCGCAAAACTTGTGTTGCACGCAAACATTTGGATGAATAAGGTCTGGATGATCCACAGTGTCCTGGCAAAGGGCGCACAAGAAGGCAGCTGGTAGCTCAGTCGAAACTACTGTAAAAGAATGGAGCGATTAGTGATGTCCACAATAGACGGAAGTTATTAATTACTACAGTGACACGAAGTATGCGAAAATAGCTTGTAAATGACTTCGCTTTCGTATACTCAGTCAATTATTACTGAAAGTGAACGCCTTGAGAAGGCAGTCGTCGCAAAACTTGTGTTGCACGCAAACATTTGGATGAATAAGGTCTGGATGATCCACAGTGTCCTGGCAAAGGGCGCACAAGAAGGCAGCTGGTAGCTCAGTCGAAACTACTGTAAAAGAATGGAGCGATTAGTGATGTCCACAATAGACGGAAGTTATTAATTACTACAGTGACACGAAGTATGCGAAAATAGCTTGTAAATGACTTCGCTTTCGTATACTCAGTCAATTATTACTGAAAGTGAACGCCTTGAGAAGGCAGTCGTCGCAAAACTTGTGTTGCACGCAAACATTTGGATGAATAAGGTCTGGATGATCCACAGTGTCCTGGCAAAGGGCGCACAAGAAGGCAGCTGGTAGCTCAGTCGAAACTACTGTAAAAGAATGGAGCGATTAGTGATGTCCACAATAGACGGAAGTTATTAATTACTACAGTGACACGAAGTATGCGAAAATAGCTTGTAAATGACTTCGCTTTCGTATACTCAGTCAATTATTACTGAAAGTGAACGCCTTGAGAAGGCAGTCGTCGCAAAACTTGTGTTGCACGCAAACATTTGGATGAATAAGGTCTGGATGATCCACAGTGTCCTGGCAAAGGGCGCACAAGAAGGCAGCTGGTAGCTCAGTCGAAACTACTGTAAAAGAATGGAGCGATTAGTGATGTCCACAATAGACGGAAGTTATTAATTACTACAGTGACACGAAGTATGCGAAAATAGCTTGTAAATGACTTCGCTTTCGTATACTCAGTCAATTATTACTGAAAGTGAACGCCTTGAGAAGGCAGTCGTCGCAAAACTTGTGTTGCACGCAAACATTTGGATGAATAAGGTCTGGATGATCCACAGTGTCCTGGCAAAGGGCGCACAAGAAGGCAGCTGGTAGCTCAGTCGAAACTACTGTAAAAGAATGGAGCGATTAGTGATGTCCACAATAGACGGAAGTTATTAATTACTACAGTGACACGAAGTATGCGAAAATAGCTTGTAAATGACTTCGCTTTCGTATACTCAGTCAATTATTACTGAAAGTGAACGCCTTGAGAAGGCAGTCGTCGCAAAACTTGTGTTGCACGCAAACATTTGGATGAATAAGGTCTGGATGATCCACAGTGTCCTGGCAAAGGGCGCACAAGAAGGCAGCTGGTAGCTCAGTCGAAACTACTGTAAAAGAATGGAGCGATTAGTGATGTCCACAATAGACGGAAGTTATTAATTACTACAGTGACACGAAGTATGCGAAAATAGCTTGTAAATGACTTCGCTTTCGTATACTCAGTCAATTATTACTGAAAGTGAACGCCTTGAGAAGGCAGTCGTCGCAAAACTTGTGTTGCACGCAAACATTTGGATGAATAAGGTCTGGATGATCCACAGTGTCCTGGCAAAGGGCGCACAAGAAGGCAGCTGGTAGCTCAGTCGAAACTACTGTAAAAGAATGGAGCGATTAGTGATGTCCACAATAGACGGAAGTTATTAATTACTACAGTGACACGAAGTATGCGAAAATAGCTTGTAAATGACTTCGCTTTCGTATACTCAGTCAATTATTACTGAAAGTGAACGCCTTGAGAAGGCAGTCGTCGCAAAACTTGTGTTGCACGCAAACATTTGGATGAATAAGGTCTGGATGATCCACAGTGTCCTGGCAAAGGGCGCACAAGAAGGCAGCTGGTAGCTCAGTCGAAACTACTGTAAAAGAATGGAGCGATTAGTGATGTCCACAATAGACGGAAGTTATTAATTACTACAGTGACACGAAGTATGCGAAAATAGCTTGTAAATGACTTCGCTTTCGTATACTCAGTCAATTATTACTGAAAGTGAACGCCTTGAGAAGGCAGTCGTCGCAAAACTTGTGTTGCACGCAAACATTTGGATGAATAAGGTCTGGATGATCCACAGTGTCCTGGCAAAGGGCGCACAAGAAGGCAGCTGGTAGCTCAGTCGAAACTACTGTAAAAGAATGGAGCGATTAGTGATGTCCACAATAGACGGAAGTTATTAATTACTACAGTGACACGAAGTATGCGAAAATAGCTTGTAAATGACTTCGCTTTCGTATACTCAGTCAATTATTACTGAAAGTGAACGCCTTGAGAAGGCAGTCGTCGCAAAACTTGTGTTGCACGCAAACATTTGGATGAATAAGGTCTGGATGATCCACAGTGTCCTGGCAAAGGGCGCACAAGAAGGCAGCTGGTAGCTCAGTCGAAACTACTGTAAAAGAATGGAGCGATTAGTGATGTCCACAATAGACGGAAGTTATTAATTACTACAGTGACACGAAGTATGCGAAAATAGCTTGTAAATGACTTCGCTTTCGTATACTCAGCAAATAAATTTATACATATTAAGTATTTTCAAAAGTTTAAGATAGCCAAAGTTAGACTTAAAACTGCAGTATATACATTAAACATCTACATTACGTACAAGGGAAATTGAAACTTTGCCGATGACTGTTGCAAAGTTTTTTCTCCACCAAATCTAGATAAGGCTGATAGAGCGGCTTTTACTTGTTATTGGTCTTGCGTTGCTACCAAAAACTCTCCCCACATTTTCATCCAATCAGACGTAAAACCAAAACCTTGCTCGCGAACGCTTTCTCACGCTTTGAGTCAGCTGTATACATTTACTTTGAGTTTTGATTGGTCCACTGGATTGCCTATGTCGTGTGCGATTGGCCAGAGTGATAACGTTGGTTTTGGTTTAACGACACTTCATTTAAATCCGCTCTAAAGTGCTATCATTTTACTCATCTACTAAAAAAAAAATATAACATATTATTTGGGTTTGTAGCGTGATGGTCGTCATTACCTTTTCTCTTGTCCCCATTAAAGTAGTTATCCACAAGCGCCGGGTCGATTTCCTCTTTCTTTCCGTCTGTCTCTTTGAAATCGCATCTCTTATCATGAGTCGACTTCCTTTTGTCTCCTTTGCCTGTGGCTGCAGGTTCCATTTTGGACTGAAGGTTTTCATTTATATCTTCCTGGGAATTTCTCTCTGTTATCATCTGTTTCTCGTTTGACGTTGTTATAGACACAAGATGCTCATTAGAGTTACTTTCCCTCTGCTTAAAGGGTAAAACACTTTTCTTGCCTTGGCCTTCTGCTTTGTCAATGTTTCCATTCCTTTCATGCTCAATGTGTAGACCCTGGACACCTAGCCGAAGGTCGGCACTTAAAAGAGCCTCGACAGTAGGTGAAGTCACGAAAAGGTCATTATCCATTCTTAACAAAGAAGAATTTAAGCTGTGAGCATCTGTTGTCTCATGCGCACGACTTTGAAATGGATCGAGATTTTGGGTGTCTTTCAAGCTACTCTGAAAATGGCTAGTTTCACTTCCAGGAATTCCTTTGCCTTGTTCTTTCGTAGTTGAAAAGGGCGAGGGTTTAGGCTGTTGAATTTCCGGTGTCACCGCCTTTGTAATTTTTAGGGCTGATAATTTTTCTAGCAATTCACTGGTTTCAGCTACGTTTCCATTTCGTTCTTCAAAATTTTCCTGGTCCACTTTCAAGTTGAACTCCTTCACCAACTTCCTGCCTGAGTTATTCTGCGCAGTTACTCGTTTTACGACCTCTTCTACAAGCGCAACTGTGGCTGTCGATGTCACTTCCAGTATCTCAAACACGCTTGCCTCTGAATTGTCGGTACTTTCTGTAACGCTACTTGAAATGACCGTGGTAGTGTTTTCGTGACATTGCCTTGAGTTATTCAAAGAAGCGTCTTTCATCTCTCCGTTAACAACAGGCAGAATTGCTGCGCTATCAGGCTGAGGTTTGAGTTGAGAGGACGCGCCTACTTCGATCTTGGGGTCGCTAGTAAGAATCTGCGCATTCTCTGTATTTGGAAAAGAACCTTTTACAGGTGATGAAGTTGCCTTCTGAATTTGCTCCACGGATTTTTCAGTGGCAATTGACGAATCGACGCCTTCATCACATTTGGGGCGACTTCTTCCCGTGCGTTGGTATTTTGGAATTACGTCTTCCCCTCCAAGCTCGTTCTTTGATGGTGTCATCTTAAAATATGGTTCATCACCTCGAAAGGAAAAAAACGACAGTTCTTTTGCAAAAGCATTCATAGTGGCGTCATCTTCACATACTATACGAATGTCATTGATTCCAGTGTGCATGGGGCCAACTTTGTCACTGAACTTGGCAATGACACGAGTAATAACCTCTACAGAGACCTCAAGGGGAATACAATTCCCATCTTGCCCTAATGGTGGAAGAGCAACCGATCTGTGTCTATATCCTGATGCCAGTACCAGTCCCTCGGTAAGATGTCGGTGGATCTGACGTTTATATGCTCTTTGGTTTTCGTCGTCTCTGATCCAAGGTGGCAGAACTGTATGAAGGACGCCTCTGCATGGTAAGTTCCCACATGAAGTGAGGAATGTAGCACCGTATTGCAGTGGACATTCAGCTTTAGCGATGTTGTGGCATTCTTCTTTTATGACAGAGCCTCCTCTCTCCAGAATCAGTTGAGGTACTCCTTCCTTGTAAGAAAGAGTTGGGTTGGCAGGACTAAGAAGAACGTCTACGTCGCTGCTGGTTATGTCTCCTATCTGCAACAATACTGTGATACCTGTGGATGTGATGTACTTTAAAGAGTTCACATCTGTGGTGTATTCGCCAAGCCCTTTGGATAACGACTGGTCAGATTTGGAGCTCTCCAGATGAGAGCATGACTGGTTTTCTTGATCAGAAGCTTCGTTTAAAACTGGTACAATCAAAGTTGTTTTATCGGCGTCGCAACTTCTATTAGACTGTAGACTAGACTGTAGGTCTTCACAATTAACATTTTTATCGGGTAGTCCAGCAGGACGCTTTCGGTTAGGTTGCGTAGGTCTATCAGTTTTTCCTTTGCTGCTTTCAAGGGGCATCTCCTGCATTTTGACTGATGTCAACAGATTCTTAACATCTCCTTGGTCTTGGTCTTGGTCTTGGTCTTCTCCTTGGTCTTCTGGTCTTGTTCCATTACCGCTTGTGTTTCCAATTGCAGAGACCCGTGAAGGCGGTGAAGCATTATCATCGATTCCTGTCTTGAGATGTCCGCCTCCACTTGTTTTCTCTGTGCCGTTCTCAAGAAATACAAATTGCTTCTTTGAGGATGGAGTTACTGGCGTGGGTCGACTTATACCTTCGCTTTGTGATTCTTTTTCATCTTCGATTAGCTTTTTCCTATCATTTCTTGTGTTCGAGGCATCACTAGTGATATCGGCTTGATGCAGCTTCTTGGCATTCTCACTTACCCTCATTCTCTCGTTTTCTACTAGACCGTGCGGGTTGCCATGGCTTTCATTCCGTTCTACCTGACTTTCGTTTGGTATCGAACGATTGTTGTATTTTCGTCCTGAGACCTTGTCGATCATCTCCTCTGATTGGCAAATAGAAGGTGTGCGAAGACTGGTTGACCCTGTAGAAACTTTGCTGCCTACCATGGACTCTCTTGTAGTTGTCATGTCTCTTACCAATGGCCTTCTACCGTCTTTTGGGGTACGCTCGCTTTTGTGCTTCTTTGTCTCTTCCAAATGACAGATTAATAACTCACGTACTGTCTTTAGCTGGTCAAATGTTCCAGATACTACAAATCCGTCAAATATCTCCTTCCAATCAACTTTTGTTTCGGCGTGGATTGTTCGTAGAATCCCTTCCAAGCTGGAGAAACTTACCCCCAAGGAAAGGGGATCAAGACGACCGGCCACCTTGCCAAAAACCTTAAAATACATCGAAATCGTTTTAGTCAGCATGAAAGTTTATATAATTATATGGGCGGAAGGGTTGCAGAAAGAGAAGCTAATCAGCTTGGGGAGCGGAGATTCTATAAGCCTAAGAAAGCGGTAAAAGGGGGGAAAACACGTGCGACATTGACATATGTGTAATATTGAAAGCTGAAAAGCGGCGAGAGCCAATTGAGAAGGTCCGGAAGGCGGAAAGGGTAGATGCCTTCAGAAACTCCATTTCCCAAAGACAAAATTGAAGTAGTGATATGTGGCGCAGGGTGTAATCCTCGATCAACATAAGTGATGCGCAAGAAACTGGTTGTCAGGGTACCTCATTCTGAAGAGGAACAGAAGATCACCAAAGGGAGCGTGGATTTAAATCCCCCGGGTGAGACTCCCATATAAAAAGGACGGGGGTGTTCGTCGTGCCTTTTAGAGGTTAAAAAAGCGGTTTTGGTACCTTTTAGGGTGTTCAGCCCCAAAAAGTCTACAGCGAAAGCTTTTGTTGCATCTTTGACTTAAGGGTATTCAGCCGAAAAAATATGACAGGAGTAAATTGTTGTTCTAGAATTGATACCTCTAAGGGGTAAAAGCAGGATCTTGGAACCTCATTGGGTTTTTTTTGAAAATCTCCGACGAGCACTCCCGTACTTTCTATATGAGAGTCCCGAGGGTTCAAATCTCACATAGGTTTCGGCTTTTTCGTTTTATCTACATGTATAGGGTCCTGTTTTCCACATTGACTAGGCTAACGTTCAGTGGACATAATCGACTTAACTCATATCATGAACCGAACAGATAAGAAGTGTACATTGGGAATGATAGACGACCAATTGTTACCTGATCTGTATGTAAACTTTGATGCCGCTCAAGTGTAACCAGGGCACCGTCAATCTCATGCCTCCTGTCCAAAACGGATTCAGCAACTGTAGAGGCGGTCAATATAACACCATGTCATCAAAAGGTATTATTGTTAGGATATATACGTCACTATTAAAGGCCAAGTGATGTGGGCAACATTTTCTTTCGACTTTATTGTCACGCAAAATATCACGACCTATGTGGCGGCAACATGTTGCATGGATTAGACAGAAGTTCACCTTTTTGCAACATGCTGCTACAACTTGAAGCTTGGCTGGTAATACGCATACTGACCTTTTGCAACGTACAATGCAACAATGTTGAGCGACGTAATATGAGAGAAAATTTTGCCCGTATCACTTGGACTTAAAACAGCACCCGGAATATCCTGCAGTCTATCTTATGACACTACCAAAGTATGATTTCACACATGGTCCATGTTTAACCGTAATTAGGCAAGACGTTAACGGTTAGCCTGAATATCCGCCGCCTCCCTGGTCAGTCGCGAGATCTCGCGAGAGTCCCAAATCGATGGCAACCAGAGCAGAGATATGCGTTCTAGATGATTAACAGCCGTAATGAATATAATTTGAAAAAAACAAAACAAAACAAAAAAAAAACAAAGAAAGAAATGACGTTTATAGCACTAGCTCTTCCTTGAAATATGGTGTTTGCTCCAGAATGTGATACTTACTCGTCAACCGAATACACCACATTTTTAGATCGTATTTATGCTTCTGTCCTCTCATTCATGATAAATTGCGTCATAACATTGTCAAAGTGGCTGTGGAACCACTGAGCATCAGGCGACTCGTTCCGCAGTAAACTTTGGAAATGTTATGACGAATTTTATCATCGATAAGAGGACAGACGCGTACATTGTCAAAGTGGCTGTGGAACCACTGAGCATCAGGCGACTGGTTCCGCAGTAGCTTTGGAAATGTTATGACGAATTTTATCATCGATAAGAGGACAGACGCGTAAAAAACTGACTCCAATTTGTTTTTTACAATAAAAAGACCCAAAATGGTCAAATGCCGGGAATAAATGAGGTGATAGACGGCCTAAACTTGCCGTAAACAAAGACAAGTGAATTTTATTTGAAATGCCGCGAACAGTGTCAATAGCTTTTCTCACTTATTGATTGGCTACTTAAAAAAGTCAATAAAATCTCATTGGTTAAAAAGTGGACAGTTTGACAGCTGAAAGTTGAACTTCAAAGCTTGCATAAATTAAAATGTTATCCGTCTGTACTCTTATTGATGATAAAAATGAGCTAATCAGCGCGCGAGAAATTAGACAGTTATTGTAAAAATACCTTTTTACCTTAGCGGTTTGTTTTCCCTTTACAGGCCATGGGATATTATTTAGAGAATTGTACTTTTATAGATCTATCTAGAAATTAGTCATTGACATACACGCGACTATCTAAGAATTTGAAAGCGAGAATTCTCAAGAGTATTCATCGCATTATCTGAAATGAAGCAGCAAACCGCCGAAGCTAAAAAGGTCTATTACATGTCAACTGGAAGAGGTGTCTGAAGTTCACACTAGAATCCCTAAGTTGTAACGTGCATGAAGGACCATTACGCGAGTTTGTAACCGCTCTATGTGCCAATGTTGCACATAGAGTCGTCGCTTCACAAGAAACGTACATTTAGCGAAATTTCTTTTGTTTCCAGTGCCTTTTGGAAAACGGTACCAAATTCTATGCTTCCTTGTGAAATGTTTACGAAGTATTGTTTCTTGAACTGGGAACTCTTTTGATTCTTTCGGGGTGTGCTTTGTATTGTGGATCTTGTCGATCATTAAAAAACGTTTCCGGCTCTGTTCAACTGTGTTTTCGGTTCATTTAGCGGCCTGGCATTTTCCAACTGGCTCATGGGGAAAAATGTTCAGTGAACAGTAACAAAACAGATGGATGCTACTTCCGGTCAGAATTAATTTGCATTTCAAATTCTCTTAGCTAAAAGTAGGTGCTGTGTAATCTAACGGTTTTAATTAGAGATCATGATCAGCAAGAAGATATTACTGAGAGTGAAAGTTGATGTCTCCAGAGCCACCTTTTCCTGGTGCCGAGGCCCCGCCGGCCGAAACGAACAATTGGCTCTGGGGAAGGGAAGACATTGCCTATCCAATTTCGCCAAGTTCCGTGTTCGCTCGCCATGTAAATATCGACGATGTCAACATAAAAGGTTTCAACGAGTTTGATACGAAGCAAATAAAAGCATCGAATCAATCAATACTTTTTGAGTTAATTTATCACTTTCACACTCAAGAGAATTGTAGACGAGGGTTCTCCAATTTAACTTCGTAAGTAGCTGTGAAATACGACGAATAGTACTAGACGACGAATATTCGTAAATCTCATACACACCGCATAGGGATGCAACCAGCCGCATTGTGAAAATACGACTGCACTTATTCTATTGGAGTTTTATAATCCATCTATAGAAATTTCAATAAACTTCCCTTCAAACTCTACTAAGCGACTGGTTTCTGACAAAATCATTTGAAACACGGTATATGACACAGATTCAACAGTTTCTACCAACCTTCTAACTTTTCAAACGTAACAACTGCAACACCTTCGCCGAACAACCGAACTCCTTCGACTTCACCTCCACCATTCCTTTTCTTCTGAAAATGAATAATTATCGTTTCTTCCCTTGTCGAAGGCGAGAGGTTTCTAACGATAACACTGTTGGAAGGGATGTCTTGATTAACTGCACTCCATTGCGGCTGCATGTTTCTCGCACTGACACGAAATGCGTTTGTCATGTTGGCATAATCCGCACCGTTTACAACATACAAGAAAACTGAGCTTCTGAATCTATTTTTTCCCTTCGTATAGAAAAATGTTAATTTCTTAGAATCCCCAGTAATGATTCCCGGAATAAGCAATACCTAAGGGATGGGTAGGAAGGGGATTAAATGCAGGCATCATTTCTCTCTAGTAAATGACTCTTCAAAACAGCGAAATAAAGGTATGGCGAGTACGCTAGTGGGTTGAATCATCAGCAAAGGTATTCGAGTTCCGACGTAAACGATTTTTAATTTAATTTTATGTTGTCAATCTTTTCCCGTCTATCTCCCTGGTGCTCTCGTCAAATTGAAAGCCGGAGTGTCACATCACATTGTCCGGACTTTCCCGTTTGTTTCTCGGAAGCGGTCATCCAGACATATTTGCTTTCAGTTTTCAATGGTGCGGAACACGTTTTATTCGGTTATATTCTCCACTTCGTTTTGCAAAACCACTGTAGGATATGGATGGAGATCGGATCTTGTATGTTCGAGGTATCGGAAGGACGATATCAAAGGAAGAATTAACAATTTATTTCCAATCACACAAACAGTCCGGCGGTGGTGATATCAGCTCGATAGACGTCAACGGAGACGAAGCGGTCATTACATTTGAAGACGAGCATGGTACGTGTGGTTTGTATCTGATCTTAGTTTTTCTGTTATTTCGCTGTCTTTGAAGCACAAAATTTTGCTTTTCCTTTCCTTGTTAGTGATCCAATATCAGACTTTTCCATCACTTTCAATATCCTTTCGATTCACGATCGGGGAAGAGCCTCCCGTTTCACTTTCAATATTTGTGTTCTTCATGCCGTCGAAGGCAAACTATTATCTTACAGACTCATTGTTTTATTTTTCTAATACACGGAGCTAGTGTTGCTTTTGAGAAATCAAAAATAAGTGAAACCTAAGTTTCAAAGAGATTGCTCTAAGCGTTCATGCCATTAACAAAGCGTCTATTCTTTATGTCTGATGACGAGTATTTGCATTCGATGTAATGTTAATGTGCCACGCATTGCAGATGTTGCGTGACAAACGATAAGTCGACATAGTCAGACATAGTGACTTTATATACAATTAGTTTTAGTTAGTTTATTGTAATCATATAGTAGATTAACTTAGTAATAGTTCTAGTTAGCAATTAATTAAATAATTAATTTATTGTAAATCTAGGAATTGTAATCTAAACATTTTAATCGTAATTTTAAATTTTTAGCAAAGTTAAATTTAAATACACGACCCCACAAGCTTTTAGC